TCACATCTAGGCACGTTTATTAAGAATGTTGACCAACGTCAAACCTACCAAAGCTTAAAATCTAAAATGCCTAATGGCACAAACTACCATGGAACGCCACCGAATTTTTACTCGGCCATGCCACTACTCTAAAATGACCCTTCTAGAGCTTATTAAACTGTCATAATTGAATTATGAGACCGTCTTCCTAAACTTTTAATCAAAATCACCAGTTCAAGGTTCAAAAACTCCAAAACCTAAATATTCGTGTAAAAACTACACTAACGACCAAGATATAAAGCTATCAGTCTCAGCAAGTCATAAATGAGTGGGGTCACTATAGGAACACTCTAATAATAAACAAAGGACAATTACACATAAATGACCCGGAGGGTCATTATTGTTGAATTCTTGCTTACCGTTCCTTATGGGATTCAACCCCAACTCCTCGTTGGGTTTTATATTGCTAATGACCGCCTACACGTTGAATTATAAGATGTGTAGTTGAGTGTTATCAAATTAGTCTCTTTAAATTCTTTCAAACGTATTATTTTTCTCATTTTTAGATGTAAGCTCAAATCCAATTCCATGTTATAGGTATACTCGGGCCAGAAATGGCATTGAGTGTCGGCCACAACAAGAGTGTAGTCTCGGGGAGTGAAATTTTTATTGAGTCTATAGAGCGATTTGAGCGTAATACTTTCTTTCAATCCTTGTGGTTTGATTCTGACCTCATAAGTTAGGTATTGTTTTTGCATGTGACCACCCATGTCTTAAATGCGAGATATAGTTGAGTGTTATCAATTTATTTACTAGATTTATAAATGTATTCTTGTAAAGGTTCTCTACCATAGATCTATAGGTGTGAAAGTGACTAGAATAATTGAGTTAGAACTTAATGGATTCTTACTGAATTAACCTTATTAATGAATAATCTGGATAAATTAAGAAGTTGTATCAATTAGAATATAATATGATTGTAAGGTAGCCCATAACCATAGATTGATTTCATTTCATTGATAATATTAAAAATCTAATAATCTTTATTAGTTAGAATTTATTATTATTTTTAGATTATATTCATTTAATTACTTGTATTATATTAAATGTAGATACCTTTTCACATTAAAGGGTTGTGACTTTTCCGATGAATTGTGACTTTTTTGAAGGGTTGAGACTTTTTTGACGGGTTGTGACATTTCCAATGAGTTTTGACTTTTTAGAAGGGTTGCGATTTTTTCAAAGTGCTGTTACTTTTTCAAAGGATTTTGCCTTTTCCTATAAGTCGTAACTTTTTAAAAGGGTTGTGACTTTTCCTATGAGCAGTGCCTGTTTCGAAGGGTTGTGACTTTTCTGATAAGTCACAATTAGCACCTATTCATACTACTATTTGTTAGCTATAAATAGAGGGGTTTCCTCTCACTTTTTAACTACAGTTTTTTAAGTTTTCTCCTCTTCTTCTTCTTAAAAAAATCTCAAGTGTTATTTGCAACAATTGATTAAGTTCAAAATTCAACGAAATTCGAGGTACTACATAATAAAGAATTGGTGAACAAATTGTAGCAAATTATTCATCAATTCATACTCGTATTTTCCTCTTATGATTTTCATCACTTACATACTTCAATATTATTTGTATCATTTTAGAACATTAATACACTTTTAATTAACCTACATATTTTATTTATTTTTAAAAAGACTTATTTCCTATGAATGGTCACAACAATTTAAACCTCCATCTTTATTTGGTCATAAATCACAACCATCCGCTCTTTATAAATTCTTGGGGATCTCTTTTCTGTGACTATTTGAGATGACTCAAAAGTTTCATAAATGAATCATCCCTAATCCATTGATATATTTCGCCGATACTCTTTGGAATTTAGATATTGACTTTCTATTAAAGAAGAAAGGAAGAGAACAGAGAAATGTGCAATTAACTATGAACTTTGCTTCACACAGAGAACTTCTAAATATAGTCCAAGGGGATTTTCGTTTCATTTTCTTGTTTTGATTCTTTAATTAATTTGTTAAGTGTTTTCATTCGAGAGAGAATTTAATAATTTGTGTTCACAAAGCGAGTAAAAAGTGACGAATACACACATCGTGGATTATTTTTCTAAAAAAAATTAATAGATCAAGTTGTGATAGAGACAATAGTAATAAAAAATACGAAAAAGGGCCCATGATTGAGGTAGGATATTTCTTCTTTATTTTTCCATTTTTTATTCTTTTACCCTTAATGAAGGAATTTCTTCCTAATTTTGCTAAACCAGCGGGAATCAACGTAGTCCATTGAATTATTATTTTCAATATTTAGTCCACTATTTCAAAAATAGATTTTCACTTTTACTTATAATATGATAATATATCAATGATGATAATTATTTTTTTGATAGAAATGTAAGTAAAAATGAATGGAGAAAGTAAAGTGTTGAGATTTCAACAAATGGAACACTAGAGTGGATATAGCATGAACTATTTTTGTCTTCCTTCTTAATTGACTATGAATTGTTCCATATGTTTTTTTTATATTTATATTGAGTATGAATTATTTTAAGTATGAATTTCCTGTTATATTTTGTGTTAATTTTAATCTGAGAAAAAGTTATGTCGTAAGATACAGTAATTGCTAGCCATATAAAATAGATAAGAAAATGAAGATTGATCATAAAATGATATTAAATCAAATTAAAAATTCTATGAATAATACTTTAAATTTTATTCATCTGTTATTTTTTTATTGAAAAAGTTCAATGTTTTATATCACGATACAACTTCTATAAGATACTTGATACTTTCATTAGACACCAACTATATGATATGCATGCGACAAAATGATACTTTCATTAGACACCAACTATATGATATGCATGTGACAGAAATATATATATACATATATATATATATATATATATATATAACAAAGAATTTGTCAAGCTAAATATTTGACATACACTGAAACCTCTATTTAACTACCATTCGT